TTTTTTCTTTTTCCTCCCCTTCTTTCACTTCCTTTCTTTTTTTATTCCCTTTTTCCTTTCCCTTTTTTTTTCCCTTTTCCCTTTCTTTTTCTTTCTTTCCTTTTCTTCATTTTTTTTTTCTTTCCTTTTTTTTTCCTTTTCACTTTTTTTTTTTTTTTTTCTTCCCATCTTTTTTTTTTTTACCCCCTTTTTCTTCTTTCTTTCCTTCTTTTTTTCTTTTTTTACTTTCTCCTTTATTTTTCCTTTTATTTCCTTTCTTTTCTTATTTTTTTTTTTTCCCTTCTTTTCCTTTTTTTTCTTTTTTTTCTTTTTTTGATTTCCTTCTTCTTTTTTCTTTTCCTTCTTTCTTCTTTTCCATTTTTTCTTCTCTCTTTCTTTTTTTTTCTTCCTCCCGCTTTTTTCCTTTTTTTTTATCTTTTTTTTCCTTCTTCCTTCTTTTTTTCTTTTTCCCTCTTCTTCAGGGGGTTCCCTCTTTTTTTTTTCTTTTCTCCTTATTTTTCCTTTTTTTTTTTTGCTTCCTCCCTTTTCTTCTCCATTCCCTCTTCTTTTCTTTTTTTTTCTTCCTTCCTTCTATTTTTTCTTTTCTTTCCTCCTTCTTTTTTCTTTTTTTTTCCTTCCTTTTTTCCTCTTTTTCTCCATTTTTCTTTTTTTTTTTTCTCCGTTCTTTTTTCTTCTATCCATTCTTTTTTTCCCTTCCCCTCTTCAATCTTTTTTTCCTTCCCCCCTCTCTCTCAGGTTATCTTCTCTTCTCCTTTTTTTCCATTCTTTTTCTCCCTTCTCCCCTTATTCCTCTTTTCTTTTTTTTCTTTTTTTCCATTCTTCCTCTCCACCCCCCCTCCTTCTCATTCTTCTCTCTTTTTATTTTTTTTTTTCTCTTTCCCTGTCCTTTCTTTCCTTTCTTCTTTCATCCTTCTTTTTTTCTCCCCCATTTTTCTATCCTTCCCCCCCCTTTTTTTCCCTTCTTTCCTCCCTTTCCTCTTTTTTTCTTTTTTTTTTCTTTTCTTTTTCTCTCTCTTCTCTTTCCATTTTACTCTTTTTTTCTCTTTCCATTTTCCCCCTTCCATCTTTTCTCTTTTTTTTTCTTTTATCCATCTTCTCCATTCTCTTCCTTTTTTTTTTTCCTATCTTTCCCAACCTCTTTTTTTTCCCTTCTCATCTTCTTCTCTTTCTCTCTTCTCCTCCTCTCTCTCTCTCTTCTCCAGTCCTCTCTTTTCCTTCTTTCTCCATTCTCTTTTCTTCTCCCCCTCTCTCTCCATTCTCTTTTTCTCCCAACTTCCTTCTTTTCCTCTCTCTTCCTTTCCTCTTTCCTTCTCTTCTTTTCTCCCCCTTTTACCCCCCCCTCTCTCCTCTCTCTTTTTCTTCTCTTTTTCCACTCTCTTTTTTTTTTTTTTCTTCCCCCTTTTTTTTTCTTATTACTTTTTCCCCTCTTTTCCTCTTCTCCTTCTTTTTTTTTTTTCTTTCTTTCTTTCTTTTCTCTTTTCTTTTTTTTTTCTTTCTCCATTTCTTTTTTTTTTTTTTCTCTTCCCCTCTTTTTTTTTCCTCTCTTTTTCTTCCTTTTTTTTTTTCTCTCCTTCTTCTTTCTTCTTTTTTTTCCCTTTTATTCTCTCTCTTTCTTCCCCCCCCCTCTCAATTTTTTTTTTCCCGTCTCCATTTTCTCTTCTCCTCCCTCTCTCCTTTTTTCCCCTCTTTTTTTGTTTTCTTTTTTTTCTTCCCCTCCCATCCTTTTTTTTCTTTCTCTTTTCCCCCCTCTCTCTCCTCCCTCTCAATTCTTCTCCATTCCCTTCTTCCATTCTTTTCCACGCTCCATTTTTCCCTTTCTCTCTCTTCCTTCCCCCCTCTCCTTCCCATGCTTTCTCCCCCTCCCCCTCCCCCCCTTTCTCCTCTTTCTTCTTTTCTTCTCCCTTCTTCCTTCCCTCTCCATTCTTCTCTCTCTTCTTTTCTTCCCCCTTCCTCTTTTTCTTTTATCCCCTGCTCTTCTCCCCCTTCTCCCTTCCCCCCTTTTTCTCTTTTTTTTCCTTCTCTCTCCCCCCATTCTATCTCTCCACCCTTTCTCCTTTCCACCCTCTTTTCCCCCCTCTTTCTCTATATATATTTCCCCCCTTTTCTCCTTCCCTCTCTATTCTCTTCTCTTTTTCTCTTTTCTCTTTTTTTCCTCTCTCATCTCTTTCTCTCTCCTCTCTCTTTTTTCTCTCTCTTCTCCAGCTCTCTCTCCCTCTCCATTTCTTCTCTCCATTTCTCTCTCTCCTCCCTCTCTCTCCATTCTCTCCCCTTCCCCCTTCCCCCTCTTCTTATGTCCTTGCTTCTCCCCCCTCTTTTCCCCCCCTCTCTCTCTCTCCCCTCTCTTTCCATTCTCTCTCTGCCTTCCACTCTCTATTCTTCTCCCCCTTCTCTCCTATATATACTCCCCTCCCCCCTCTCTCTCCCATTCTCTCTCTCTCCCCCTCTCCTTTTCCATTCTCTTCTTCTCTCCCCCTCTCCATGCTCCCCCCCCTTTTTTACTTCTTTTTCCTTTCTCTCTCTCCATTTTCTGCCCTTTTCCATTTCTCCTCTCTTTTCTCTCCCTCCCTCTCCATTCTTTCTTCCACCCCCCTTTTCTCTCAATTTCTCTCTCCCTTCCCATTCTCTCTCTCCCTCTCTCCTCCTCCCCCCCCATCCTCTCTCTCCATTCTCTCCCTCCCTCTCCATTCTTTCTCCATCCCCCCCCTCTCTTATTCTCTCCTCCCTCTCCCTCTTTTATTCTCTCTCCATTCCCTCCCTCCATTCTTCTCCACGCTCCATTCCCCCCCTCTTTTCTCTCTCCTTCCCCCCCTTCTCCCCCTTTGCTCTTCCCCTTTTTTTACTCTTTTCATCTCTCCCCATCTTCCTTTTCCCTCTTCTCTCTCCCAATTTTTCTCCCTCTCCATTCTCCTTCTTTTTTCTCCCCCTTCTCTCTCCCTCCTTTCTCTATCCATGCTCTCTCCCCCCCTTTCTCCACCCCCCGTCTCTCCCCCCTCTCTCCTCTCCCCATCTATCTCCATCCTCTCTCTGCTTCCACCCTCTATCTCCCCCTCTCTCTATATATTACCCCCCTCTCTCTCTCTCCTCCCTCTCTACTCTCTCTCTTTCTCTCTCTCTCCTCTGTCCATTCTCTCTCTCCATTCTCTCTCTCTCCTCCCTCTCCCCCCCCCTCTCCCCCCTCTTACCCCCCTCTCTCTCCATTATCTCTCTCCATCTCTCTCCATTCTCTCTCCCTCTCTCTCTCCTCCCGTCTCTCCATATATATATAATCTCTCCTTCTTTCTCTCTCCCTCTCTCTCCATTCTCTCTCTTTCTCGCCTCCTATCTCTCTCTCTCAGATTTGTTCAATTAAAATTAGCTTTATTGGCAGAACCAAAAACATTTTAGGATTGTCAAAGCTTATTGCCTCCCCCTCCCCCATCACCGCTGACAGTTCTCAGTCCCTCCTCTTGTCAATGTATCACTCTTCCTGTTCTATACACATATACAATGTATACATTTATGTACATTTGGTTGCTGAATATTTCTGAATGTTGTTTCCTCTCATAGATAACGTCTCCTGAAGAGCCGGAGCTGCGCTTACTTTTCTATGGATTTCAAACAGAAATATTCAATTAAAGAGAGACTCCGGCTTTGCTGTCAATTGTATCTTCTTGCTGGAGGAGACCCAGAGGGGGAGTGAATTATACAGCTTCCTATATACAATGGTTGTGAAGATTCTGTATAAAAAGAGGAATTCAATTTCCAAACAAAGTCTGTGTACAGAAATCTGTGGACTGTTACCATCCCCCCCCCCCCCCCCCCCCAACCCCCCCCCCAACACCAAGCACCCCGACCCCGTCCCTCTGCCACTAGTTTTTTTTTTTTTCAAAATTTTGGTCTTTTCAAAAAATAAAAAAATGCAGAAGCAAAAGAAAGCTCTATTCGTGGGAAAAAAGGACATAAATTTCATTTGGGTGCGGCGTTGCATGACCGTGCAATTGTCAGTTAAAGTAACACAGCTCCGTATTGCAAAAAAATGGCCTGGTCAGGAAGGGGGGAAATCCTCAGGAGGGGGGGATCCGCTGGAGGGGGGGGGGGGAATCCTCTGGAGGGGGAGGGGGGGCTATCCTCTGGAGGGCAAGGGGTTAAAGAAATGAATGTGTTTTACTTGCCATGCGACTTTCTGTGTTGCAAAAAGCACCCCCCCATGTTGAGGGCATGTGGCCAGGTATGGTTCAGGAGGGGGGGCATTCACTCATCCTCCCCCTTTCCTGACCTGCCGGCCTGCATTCTCGGATAAGGGTCTGCTATAGATTTTGGGGGGGACCCGTATGCCATTTTTAAAAAATGTTTGGCGTGGGGGTTTCCCTCAAAATCCATACCAGACCCGACAGGCTTGGTATGGATGGGAGGGGGGACCCCCACACCACTTTTTAAAAAATGTTGGCGTGGGGGTTCCCCTCAAAATCCATACCAGACGCAAAGGGCTTGGTATGGATGGGAGGGGGGACCCCTCACATGAGAAGTCGCAGCGGAGTGAACCAGATCTAATACTGCTATAAGAGATACGCTGATACATTGTTGCAACCAACTGAACCTCGGATGAAAGTTACAGATCTCAGAAAGAGAAAGCCGCTGTCAATACTGCCGCTAAATTCTGACACTTCCGTGTATGGGGACAGACGGCATCACATCTGAAGGTTCTAAAGGAACGGAATCAAAGACGGAGTCTCAATTCTTTGATCCGAGCCCCCACCCCCTCCCCCGTCTGTGATCTGAGAACGGAATCGCCTCTACGAGGGACGGTTATCTACAATGACAATATGCTGCAAGTCTGAGCTCTGACGGAGGAAAATATATTTTTTCCGCCATTGAGCAATCTAAAGATTTTCATTGGAACCTCAGGGGAGGAGGAAGGGGAGGGGCATCAAAGCTATTTTAAAAAGTCACCGGCTGCTACTGTTTAAATCCTCCCTCCACCTCCTCCCCTTCAGTCTTGCACAGGTGTACCGGCTCCTCCCCTTCAGTCTTGCACAGGTGTACCGGCTCCTCCCCTTCAGTCTTGCACACGTGTACCGGCTCCTCCCCTTCAGTCTTGCACAGGTGTACCTGCTTCTCCCCTTCAGTCTTGCACAGGTGTACCGGCTCCTCCCCTTCAGTCTTGCACAGGTATACCGGCTCCTCCCCTTCAGTCTTGCACATGTGTACCGGCTCCTCCCCTTCAGTCTTGCACAGGTGTACCGGCTCCTCCCCTTCAGTCTTGCACAGGTGTAACAGCTCCTCCCCTTCAGTCTTGCACAGGTGTAACGGCTCCTCGGCTTCAGTCTTGCACAGGCGCCCCTAGGGTTGGTGTCACCCGGTGCGACAACACTTGGTGACACCCCCTCCGACGATCCCCGCAGGATGGATCGGATCTGCGGATTGAGCATAATGGATCGGACTCCCATCCATTATCTTCCCCAATCTGCAGATCCAATTCATCCTGCAGGGATCGTCGGCTTGCTTTACAACTTACCTTTTTGTGAAGCGAGGCCGGTGTCAACCCCAGCGGTCGGTGTCACCTGGTGTGGAGCGCACCCCCCGCACCTGCCTCGGGACGCCATTGGTCTCAGCTACACGGAGGCTGCAAATCGCATTTTTCGTACCTATTTTTGGACCCTCTGCCATTCTCGGCTCCATGTACGCCATCGGTTGGTCACGTCTCTCCCGGCCCGTTTCTCTCCATCTATTATATTAAAACTTTATTCGTAGTTATTATCGTTTTGTCCTCCATTGACATTCTGCGGGATTTACGGATTTGCCCGCCCTTGCGTTCCCTCTCCAGAGGACGTCATCCATTGTAAATAATTCATATTTCCCAAACAGATCAGACGTTCGCCGCAGACTGGCTGCGCCATCGGCTGCACATTCACAATAGCTGTTCCATTGGCTACTCCGGCATCTCGCCACGCACAGCACCGCCGGTGGTGTCCCTCAGAGGAAGTCGTAATGACGAAACGCGTCAGGGCGTGACCATCCGTGACGTCGTTCACCGGCAGTACGGGACCTCCCACATGCGGAAGTGTAGCGGCGGTGCTGTGCGCGGCGAGATGCCAGAGACGCCACACATGCGCTGATCATTGTCATAGTTCGATGCGCATTGTATTTTATTGAATGTGAGTCGTTTTTAAAGGGGGGGTTAGTGGCCATAATGGTTTCTAAACAGTCACACTATGTGGCCAATTCTTAAGCAGGACGTACATGGGTCGAATTCCAATCGAGAATCGAAAACATTGTTCATTCTATATATATATATTTTTTTTTTTTTTTAATTTTTAAAAAAAATGTATTTAATTTATTTTTATTTATTTAAAATTTACGTAAGTTTCTGTAGGGTCCGTTGTAGTCCGTTATGCAGCTTTATAGTTTTAGAAGCAGATTACATACAGTCAGGTCCATAAATATTGGGACATCAACACAATTATAACATTTTTGGCTCTATACACCACAATGGATTTGAAATTAAATGAACAAGATGTGCTTTAACTGCAGACTGTCAGCTTTAATTTGAGGGTATTTACATCCAAATCAGGTGAACGGTGTAGGAATGACAACAGTTTGCATATGTGCCTCCCACTTGTTAAGGGACCAAAAGTAATGGGACAGAATAATAATCATAAATCAAACTTTCACTTTTTAATACTTGGTTGCAAATCCTTTGCAGTCAATTACAGCCTGAAGTCTGGAATGCATAGACATCACCAGACGCTGGGTGTCATCCCTGGTGATGCTCTGCCAGGCCTCTACTGCAACTGTCTTCAGTTCCTGCTTGTTCTTGGGGCATTTTCCTTCAGTTTTGTCTTCAGCAAGTGAAATGCTCAATCGGATTCAGGTCAGGTGATTGACTTGGCAATTGCGTAACATTCCACTTCTTTCCCTTAAAAAAACTCTTTGGCTGCTTTTGCAGTCAGCTTTGGGTCATTGTCCATCTGCACTGTGAAGCGTCTAATGAGTTCTGAAGCATTTGGCTGAATATGAGCCGATAATATTCCCGAAACACTTCACAATTCATCCGGCTGCTTTTGTCAGCAGTCACATCATCAATAAATACAAGAGAAGCAGTTCCATTGGCAGCCATACATGCCCACGCCATGACACTACCACCACCATGATCACTGATGAGGTGGTATGCTTAGGATCATGAGCAGTTCCTTTCCTTCTCCATACTCTTCTCTTCCCATCACTCTGGTACAAGTTGATATCGGTCTCATCTGTCCATAGGATGTTGTTCCAGAACTGTGAAGGCTTTTTTACATGTCGTTTGGCAAACTCTAATCTGGCCTTCCTGTTTTTGAGGCTCACCAATGGTTTCCATCTTGTGGCGAACCCTCTGTATTCACTCTGGTGAAGCCTTCTTTTGATTGTTGACTTTGACACACATACACCTACCTCCTGGAGGGTGTTCTTGATCTGGCCAACTGTTGTGAAGGGTGTTTTCTTCACCAGGGAAAGAATTCTTTCGGTCATCCACCACAGTTGTTTTCCGTGGTCTTTCCGGGTCTTTTGGTGTTGCTGAGCTCACCGATGCGTTCCTTCTTTTTAAGAATGTTCCAAACAGTTGTTTTGGCCACGCCTAATGTTTTTGCTATCTCTCTGATGGGTTTGTTTTGTTTTTTCAGCCTAATGATGGCTTCACTGATAGTGACAGCTCTTTGGATCTCATCTTGAGAGTTGACAGCAACAGATTGTACTTGGGATAATGAGGGAATAACACACACCTGGCCATGGAACAGCTGAGAAGCCAATTGTCCCATTAGTTTTGGTCCCTTAACAAGTGGGAGGCACATATGCAAACTGTTGTAATTCCTACATCGTTCACCTGATTTGGATGTAAATACCCTCAAATTAAAGCTGACAGTCTGCAGTTAAAGCACATCTTGTTCATTTCATTTCAAATCCATTGTGGTGTATAGAGGCAAAAATGTTAGAATTGTGTTGATGTCCCAATATTTATGGACCTGACTGTAGATATGTACTTACCATGAATATATATATCTGATGTTAGCGCCACTTTGATCCTCTTTTCCTCCAGCGGGGGAGGATTATTCTCGCGTCTCGAAGTGAATCGCTCGATGTTTTCGTATCTCTGGATACATACGTGTCCTCTCGGCGTGTGGACTTGTGAGAGCATATCTGATCATGTTATAAAATGTTATCACGTTATCTGCATCACTGACACCGCTCCCATATGAAATTTTTATCGTTTTCCTCGCACACACAGAGCTTTCTCTTGGTGGTCTGTACTCCGCGCTGGGGGTTTTTTTTTGAGCCATAAACAAAAAAGAGCAAAAAAAATGTGAAAAAAAAGAAGTTTTTCTTTGTTTCTATCATAAAATTTTGCAAACAGGTCATTTTTCTCCTTCACTGGGCACTGATAGGCAGTACTGATGGGTACTGATAGGCGGCACTGATGGGCACTGATAGGTGGCACTGATGGGCACTGAGGAAGTGGTACGGATAGGCAGCACTGATGGGCACTGATAGGCGGCATAATGGGCACTGAGGAAGTGGCACGGATAGGCAGCACTGATAGGCAGCACTGATGGGCACTGATAGGCGGCACTGATGGTCACTAATGAAGTAGCACGGATAGGCAGCACTGATGGGCACTGATAGGCAGCACTGATGGGGCACTGATAGGCGGCACTGATGGGCACTGATAGGCGGCACTGATGGGCACTGATAGGCAGCACTGATTAGCACTAATGAAGTGGCACAGATAGACAGCACTGATGAGCAGCACTGATGGGTACTGATAGGCAGCACTGATAGGCAGCACTGATGGGCACTGATAGGCAGCACTGATGGGCACTAATAAAGTGCACTGATGGGCACTGAGGAAGAGGCCTGCAGGATAGGCAGTACTGATGGGCACTGATAGGGGACACGTCCAGTGCGCCCCCTACCCGGAAATGCGAAATCGCATATATATGTGATTTTGCGCACCCTTGCCACCCTGTAGCAGTAGTGCCATTAGTACGGTGTCAGGGCTTATTATTAGCACTGATCACTGTATTGGTGTCAATGGGGATGTCAGTGACACCAAGTGTCAGAATGCTAAACTGCAGTCCCTCAGTCCCACTATAAGTCGCTGATTGCCGCCATTACCAGCAGAAAAAAAAAATCCCAGTAGTATCTATTCCGACATTTGTAGACACTATAACTTTCATGTCAACCAATTAATTTACACGTATTGGGATTCTTTTTTTAGCGAAGACACAGAGCCGGAGACATTTTGGCCGAAATTTATGACGAAACTTCATCTTTTACATTTTTTACTGGACAATGTTTTATAGCAAAAAGTCAAAAATGTTTTTTCTCAAAATTGTCGGTCTTTTAATTTTTTATAGCACAAAAAAATTAAAAACGCAGAGGCGATGCAATACCTCCGAAAGAAAGCTCTATTTGTGGGAAAAAAAGGACGTAAATTTCATCTGGGTGCAGTGTTGCATGACCGTGCAATTGTCAGTTAAAGTAACGCAGCGCCGTAATGCAAACAATGGCCTGGTCAGGAAGGTGGGGAATCCTCTGGAGGGGGAGGGGTTAACCTTCCTTTCATGTAATCAGCCAAACAAATGTTCTAGAAAACTCAGTTTTGTCAAAATGGTGGAAATTGTACAAGTCGACCTCAATGCTCTGTGTAATTGGGGGACTATGGGACCAATGAGGTTATTGTTGATAAATGTAAGGTTCTGCACTTGGGGGCTAAGAATATGCATGCATCATAACATACTAGGAGGGTACAACTGGGGGTCAATGGTGGAGAAGGATCTGGAGTTGTCAATGGTGGAAAAAAGATCTGGAGGGGTCAAAGGTGGAGAAGGATCTGAGGGAGTCAATGGTGGAGAAGGATCTGAGGGAGTCAATGGTGGAGTAGGATCTGGAGGGGTCAATGGTGGAGAAGGATCTGTTGGGGGTCAATGGTGGAGAAGGATCCGAGGGAGTCAATGGTGGAGAAGGATCTGAGGGGTCAATGGTGGAGTAGGATCTGGAGGGGTCAATGGTGGAGAAGGATCTGAGGGGGTCAATGCTGGAGAAGGATCTGTAGGGGTCAATGGTGGAGAAGGATCTGCGGGGGGGTCAATGGTGGAGAAGGATCTGGGAGGGGGGGGGGGGTCAATGGTGGAGAAGGATCTCGGGGGGTTAAAAGTGGAGAAGGTTCTGGGGGTTCTGGTAGACCACAAGCTTAATAATGGCAGCAGTGCGAAGCTGCGGGTTCTAAAGCGAGCAAAATCCTCTCTTGTATTAGGAGAGGTATAGACTCCAGAGAGAGAGATATCCCCCCCCCCCCCCCCCCCCGGTACAAATCATTAGTAAGACCTCATCTGGAATATGCAGTTCAGTTTTGGGCTCCAATTCACATAAAGAACATTGGGGAACTGGAGAAAGTACAGAGAAGGGCAACCAAACTGATATGAGGCATGGAGGAGATCAGCTATGAGGAGAGATTAGAGAAACTGAATGTATTCTCTACTGAGAAGAGGAGATTAAGGGGGGGATATGATCTCCATGTATAATACATAAGGGGGATATGATTATTCATGTATATTATATAAGGG